TGGAGCTCTGCACGTATAATCTTTCTCCTCCACTGCCCGTATTCAAAATATATGAATTTCCCTTTCTGATCATCACCCATAGGGTAGACCTGATTGTCCCATCCGGGTATTGGCATGGTCATCCCATCGATATAAGGCGACTCGCAGTGATGATAGAGATTTGAAGTTGAAAAGGGCATTGCAATCTGAGGGTGACTGTAGCTGGACATTGTGCTGAAGATCTCTGCGGGAGGGAAAACCTACAAAGCTTGCGGTATTTATGAGGAGACAGCTTGTACTGACTAAAAGCGAGTAAACTTTCACAAGTGAATAGTCTTTGCCGAGGGTGATTGTTCGCAAAGTTAGCAAAGTAGTATCAATTCCCGTCCGATCGATCAGCGAAGATTTCAAAAAGTCCTCGACGCCACGACTTTGTAGAAGGTCCCCGTGCGGTCAAAATTGACATTCGGGATATGTCGAAATTTTCTGATTTCCCCCGATGCTGGACATACAAAATTCGGGAAATCGCATACGAAGGTTTGAACACGAACCTTTTCCGGGTTATGCTCCTTGAAGAAGGGTTAGGTTCAGTGAACAACGTACACGTGTATACAAGATGGGTCGAGTGTAGGCCCATTCTCTATCCAAGAACTTCGTTTCGCCTTCCATAGAAGATATAATTTCAGTCATATCTTCAGCTTCTTGTCAGATTAGCTCTGAATCGCACATTAGCCCCACAACAAGAAGAACCACAGAGTGCCTTGAAGGAGTTCTTGAGAACATTACGCAGAGTGCCTTGGTTAGAGTTCGAGACCTCTGCCATCGGATGACTTGCTAGGAATGAGGTTTTCGGCGTTAACCTGGGTGGAATGGTTGATGGTGTGCGTGGTCACAGGAAGCTCTGGATTGGCCCGAGAACCTATAGAACATGACCGAATAAGCATGTACCTCCGGTGCTTCAGGACTTACAATTGGGCTTCTCCAATGAAAAGCCAGCAGGGGACTCTAGCTCAGACTGTTGAAGGCTATGCGTGATAAAGATACAAAACATGAAATGTGTTCACATTGACGTTAACACCTTACACAAGCCCTGTTAGATTCTTTTTCAAGGAATTGGGTTGCCTCTTTCTTGAGTCTCCACATTCTAGTTCTCCCGCAAAGTTGTTCCAGAACGAATCGTCGACGTGTACGACCATGCGTGTGACGACGAACGGTATTGAGTCAGGTGCTGTCAATGGTCATTGTTATCCATTGTGCTTAAATCTCTCTCTCTAACAGTGATTCCTTTGTGTGGCGTCTTCATAGTAGGCCAGATGAGAATGGAATTTAATTAGGACTAACCTTTTGAGCGAACCCGGGGCTAGATGAGCTCTTCTCGTCTGCGACTTATGAGATGTCAGTATGCATGTCACCTGTGATAACTTTGAATCCTACATAATAAGGAGTTCAAGCAGGCCATAGGGTTCCCAGGGTATGGGTTAAAACATCCTATCTGGGAACCTTACTAAGTTAAAGTTGCGCGCGTTCGCCGAAAGCAGTTCGAAGCATGGAGATGACGCGGAAGGATAACAGAAAAATGCGAGGTATGTAGCAGAATCATAATGGGGTCAGCTAAAAGTGAGCACAGGATCACGTTTGCAGGAGCTTGCGATGACCACGATGCGAAAGTTAAAGCGACATGAGAAGACCTGAAGTATGTTCAATTTTATCATATAAATGAGGTTTATGACCTTACCTCCACCGGCCCAGAGCACGCGCAGAAAACAAAGTTATTGGAGACGTTCGAGGATATCACAGGACCTTCTAGTCTAGACGCATGCCTGCAGCATGACCATCGACGGTGTTGTTGAAGTCTCCAGCTTTTGAGAGCCTCCCGGATCCGTAGAAAAAAGGCTTTCCAACCGTTTTATCCGGCTGCAAAGCGATTCGTGGAATTGGACTGGCAAATCACAGCATGTAATACGAGGGGGAAGGTCAAGAGTGGTGATTGGAGGCAATTTGGAGTTGGCCGCGGCGCAGTTCAAGCTCAAGCTCAAGCTTTGGGCGCCAAATTATCCACTCACTCTCTTTGCACCTTATTCAACACCTATTCAACACTCTCCTCCCAAACCTAACCGGATGTCTCTAGATCAGAACCTCTTTACTCTCGTCCTAACTTCAAACACAAACGATCCAAATGTCATAGATTTGGTAGATCCAACTGGCCGAATACATTACCGGAAGCAGCGTGTCCCTGGACCGATATACAAAGTCGAATTGTACGGTGCGTCTTGCATGCTTCCAATCGCCAGGGTTCTGATGATTCTTCCGAAGATTTCATGTCGGAATCATTGCTTGCTACTGCTAGTGCGCCGACAGCCACCAGCAAAGTCAAAACTCTGGAACTATGTAACCCGACAATTGCTGTAGAGCTCAAATACACAGGAACTTTGTCGTTCAAATGGTCTTTCCAATGGGAAACGTGCATACTATCTATACCTAATCACCTTCCAATTGCGATCTAATCCTTCGTTTCTGACAGTCACGAATTCGAATGGAAGCGGGAAGAGTGTTATCTCATTCGAAAACCAGATCCTCCAGTCCTAGTTGCTATCACAAAAGAACCCGCCGGACGGCTGAAGAGCAGCTCCGTACAAGTCCTTGATTACAATCTGAACCGGTGTGTCCTCATCCAGCGCGAAAATAGCACAAGATTCTACTCTGACACCATCCGAGGTTCGAGATCGAAGACCGCAAAGGCCTCGAAATTGTCATGTTGACCGCACTGTTGACATTCCACGACTCGAATGATAGTTATCATTCTCCAAAGGCTACTCCTGCACCGCCAACAACGACGCCTTCTCCGAGTGCGCCTGTCATCCTCGAGCCTCCAACACCTCCTCCGAGACCTGAACCCAAGACGGGCGTGGATCGTATCGCGGAACTGCATGCAATCAGAGGAGAATTCAACGAAGTCACGGTCGAAGCTGAAGGAAGCGTAGATGATTATGCGCAATATTGCTGGAACCTTCTTCAGGTTCGTCCTTGGGTCCGTTACAAAGGCATTTCAGAAACTCAATCGATAACCATCTAGGACGATGCAATATTGTTTGTCATGATCAAATCACATACGAGTCTAGAGGTACAAAAGGTCGTTCAAGTCGCTGAAGAAACCAAGCGGATCAGACACAGAACTGGTAAATTCTTTTTCTCTTTTCGTTTCGACTTGTCTGTCACGACTACAGGGTAGGCTTAGAGGACGATCTCAATCAATACGTGATTTACGACGCCGAGGCCAAGAAAGGCCCGAAGATAATCAAGCTAGACGATGACAACAAAGGGAAGAAGGCGAATGCGTATGTCCCGCCGAGCAGTCTGTGCATACATCTAAGCAAGATACCCATGCCGGAGCTGCAACCCATCAAACCTGGGAGTTCGCAGAATACCAACGAGTCATCTCTTAGGAAGAAAGACAGTCTGTATTTTCTGTTGTCGTCTCCAAACTTCTTCTGATCGCACATACTCATCTCAGCCTCGCCATCGGTATCCCCAGCAAGACCCAGATCCAGACTATTCCATCGAAAGTCTCCTTCCCGCTCTCAATCACCTCCGAGCCATACACATATCCAATCGCATCAAATACATCCCAATCAACCCTCACCGTCACCTTCTCAGTTGAATAACCCATTGATCTATGTCGCGCCTCCTCCACCTCGTAATCATCCCAATACACAGCCTGCGCGTCCACCGTCGACGAATCCGCCAACTCCAAACTACTCCAGTCATCCGTCGTCTGCGCAGGCGACCGCGCCGACGAGCTCGCTCAGCGGTTTGCTGGAGCGATTTCATCTACATTGAGCATTCTGTCGGTGCATTCCACTCGCGAGGACTACATTCATGATTTCATCTATCTACTGTTATCTTTTCTGCTTGATTCAATCGATCTATTGGACGTTATTGCTACAAATCTACAGACTATCGTCGCACAAACTTGTCTCTGTAAATAGGATCCCATGTACATAGAGCATTGATTGGCGTTGGTGCTTGGAAACTTTCAAATCGGCCATGGCCGAGAGATTTTGCCCAAAATAGCAATAAGCTTAGCTAAATTCGCACGCGTCGTCTTTCTTCCTGTTTATCGCGAACGCGATCCTCTCTGCGAACGACGCGATAGTGAAATCGATATCACCTGGGAAGTAGCACCAATCACTCCATTCTTTTACGATGCAGAGCTCCGGGCAACCGGCGACAGGTGCTATTCAAGCCAAAGAACGCCTCTATACTCAACTCGCAGGCAGTTTTGGACGAATGAACCGAGCCCTCGTGCAGACTTCCAACCTCTGCGAGCTACTCCAGATGGATCTCCACGCTATGCGGACTTTTGTCGGACTCGATGCAGCTATGTGGGTTAAACCAGCAAACTGTTCATCTTTTGAGGTCGTAGGGGTTGATACCCAAGGGTCCTTTGATGTGTTTACAGGCTGATGACGGTCGCGGCTTCACTCAATAATGATCCCGAGGAAGAAGAGGAAGCAGGAGAAGGGTCTGAGGCGCGTGTATCAACCGAACCAGGAAGGGATTCGAGGGGATAATAAGAAGAGCGAAGCTTGACAGACAGCGAATCTGGGGCTGAGTCATGGGCATGGTGAGTCCGGGCCTATACTTTATCGCTGCGTGCATTTAATATCACATCTATGATAGCTATTAGCATTGCTTGCAACTTTCAACTTTCCACTTTTAAAATCCTAAATAATAACCACCGATGTACATGTCCCAAAGCCTACGAATGACCGACATCACATTCTCCAGAGTCACTATTTGTATCTAGACTCTAGAGAGCTGCTTCGGACCAGGCTCCCTATCAACTATCATTTGAAGATCTAATTCAGGGTGCCGCGTTCACTCATATCCGCCTCATCTACGACATATGCTGCACATCCTGTCCATGAACTCCTGCCTCTCTAAGGGAGTTCTCTTTTCCGTCGTTGTCCATCCAAAGCTTTTTTTTGATTCTGATTGTCACAGGGCACCTGTGCTTTATTGCCTTCTTAGCTCAGCGGTAGAGCGTTCCACTCGTACCGACTGTACCGACTGTGAGATGGAAAGGTCGCTAGTTCAAGTCTGGCAGGAGGCATGTTCAGGTGGAATGAATGAATGAATGAATATCTTTTTTCCTTCTTACTTTGACTAGAACGGCCGCCTCGAGGCGGCTGAGCCCTTGCTTGAGCTCTGAGAGACGACAAGGACTTGATACCGATGGATAGAGCCTTTCAGAAGGCAGTTGACTCCAGAGCTCGAGCTTGAGTGCTCTTAGCCTCTTACTATTAGTGCACAGTGCACACTGCATGAGGATACTTATCTTATCTCTAGATCATTCAGCGCTTGTCGACTCCTTATCGTGATTACACATTTGTTTGTTCCCGATGTTTACGGAAAACAACCGGCGCCTATGAATTATACACCCCCAAGAGCCCTTGACAAGCAAGGGAACAAGCAAGGGAAAAGTGAAGCATAAACTGTGTTTCCACGATCAAGTCGAATCGAATCTTAAAAGGATGCGGCGGAAACTTGCAACTATGGCAAGTGGATTGTATTCCCGTATGCACCAACATGATTGAAGCTGATTGTTGTAGAGATCTTTGAAAAAAACTTGTATTAGGATGTCTGATATGTCGCAAGTAGGCAAACAAGTAAATGATTCCAAAGTAAGATTCAGATAATTGTATGATGATAAGGTAAAGATTTGTCTCGAGACTGCATTTGACACAAAATAGGATTAATCGACCTGCATTGCACGTTACGCTCACTGCTCTAAGCCCAAGTACATCATCGAGATGTTTTTGACGCAGACTCGTCGATTGTATGTCATGCCAGCTACTCTACTAATAGAATTTTGTGCTCCATCTGTTGTCCCAGTCCAACTTCCAAGAACCTCAAGATCCTGCCACAATGCTCGAAGTGGAGAGAAAAAGAACAAGAATAGGCACTGGAAAGCCACAGCTTGTCGACGAACTCGTTTCAAGTCGACGTCGAAAAACCAAAGACGGAATGACGCCTGCTGACACGCTCTCCTCAAGGCTCAGAAGAGAGCGAAAAATACGGGTTTGCTCAGTCGTTCAGTGCCAGTGGTATCTTCGCGAATAGATCTTCATTAGCATCACTGTTTTGATTGAAGCCTGTCAAATCGATTATGTCCTTGTCACTGTGTCGTTAGGTGTCGTTGTGGTACTCTTTACAGCGCTTGGGTGGTGGTGATAGAGGGGAGTTTTGCCCCGCTACCGATGCCGTCGAAATTCGGGACATGCCAGTTGCTTCTGTGTAATGCATAGAACTCCGATCCTTGGCTTCGAACCTTGGTCGACGTACGGCCCCGAGATTAAGAAGGATTGAGGCGTGACAGAGATGCGCTCGTCGATTGGAAAATTCGTAACGTTGACGTTGAGAGCTCGTTCTTGAACGCGGTGTCGTGACCATACGATCCCGAGCGAAAATAGGTAAAATTTCACTCGTGGAGACGGTCAGTGTCACAGTAACTCTGAGACGTGATCTTGATATTAATTCGTGCACACCTAAAATGACCGTTGAGCTATGATATATGATCGTGAAGGTATAATCGAAATTCTGGATTCGAGACTCGAACGTGACACTCCCGACGGGTACCGCGTCAGGAATGTCTATCGAGGTCCCCTGTGTACCGTGTTTGAAGGATGCCCGAACGGCGAAGAGTTCATCGGTATGAGGATATGTATCCGATGGTAGGCGTCCATCACAAGTTATAACGAGTGACATATCTGGATTGGAGCAGTGAATTTGGCACCGGATTTAACCATGTGCATCGTACCGACATGGAAATACCGTGCTGGATGGGATAAATGAGAAGTTGTATCATTGACTCTGAGATGCATTTCGAACTCACTACTGAAGGATCAGATGGTCACGACACCGCGTTGAGGGTCCACTACTTCTCGTGGAGACAGTGAGTGCGACTCGAGTTTCCCGCTTGAGATGATAACCTTTGCGTCGATACCTGAGTACGACCCAAGCCCAATCAAAATGATGGCCAAGCTATCGTGAAGGTACATCACCGGCGTAGAGTCGAGTAGTCTGTTCGAGGGGAATGTCTGTCGAGATTGCTTGCGGCGTACCGCCGCACCGCGTTTCAAGGATGCCCGAACGGCGAAGGGATTATCGGGTATCCGATTGTATGCGTTCATCATAACAACATATCTGGATTGGGGCAGTAAGTAAGATTGGCAGACTTACCATATGCATCGTACCGACACGGAAATACCGGAGGCATAGAATGTGGACAGGATGAATGAGTTGTCACTGACACTCGGTCGAACGATGAACTCACCTCACTGGGTAAATAAGAACAGTGTACACTTTGTGTTTTGGTGACAGAAAATGGCAGGAAGGACCCACAGTGGGTTGTAGCTTGTCGAGTCTCGGAGATGTGTAGATTTCCACAAACTGAATGTTGTACACACTTTGGAAGACGGTACCGTACACCAGCTGTAATACCTACTCGTTGGGGTTGTCGGATAAACGGGTCTGTTCAGTGTTGATGGAAGGTGGGATGATCAACTTGGTTGTGAAAAATACCGCCTTGAACTCCAGCGACACCCCAATATGCTGACTCTCCTGGAGACGAGAGCTACAGCGGACTGAATTCCAAGGGGGAACTTGGCAAAAGGCGGTACTAACCTGTACTCACTGGCAAGGTGCAAGGACCGACAAAGCTCCTTTACTGCCCCCGAGTCAATCCTGATTAAAAATCACTGATCGATGATCAGCTTTCACTATAGAGACATGTTCTACAGTCATCACGGGGAAATATCTTATCAGCCCTCGCCTGCGCCAAAGAAAAAGATATGGTTGAAAACACTTACTGTATACCTCTGTATACATACAGCTTCCTATTCAGCACAAGTAACTCAGTCTAAAGGTTAACGGTCACTGATGAATCATGAAACAGGCGCACCGAATGCAAACATCGATGCGAACAGATGCGAACCAATGTACATATGAGGAAAGACTAAAGTTCCCTGTGGCGGCGGGGCGGGAGCTGGCGGGAGGCTTGCTGGCAAGAAATGTATGTGAGCCGTATGTTCTGAATGTCGCATTGAAGTTCCGCAAATCCACAAATCCACTTTAGGGGTGTCAAAGCAGGTGGTACACTGGTACTTATCAGCCTCATCATTGGGAACAATGGCAAGTACCGAACCCAATAGAGTTTATACGTTTTGATAACCCTGAGGAGGTTGCTTTGAACTCCTCCCCGCCAATGACCGCCAAATGACGCATTCCGCGTATATCGTACCCGATACGTGGTTATCCAGAGTTGCATCTTCGAAGACTGTGGGCTGAGATGTTGATGGTACGGAGAGGAGTCATAGTAGAGCTTACCTTACCCACGCAAAGGAATCCTGAGCTAAATTGTGATGAGCATTGAGCAAGATGACTCTTTCAAAATTCGTACGAACGTACCTCTTGGAGGTAGTTGGAGGTTCGGGACGAGTTCCGTAAGATGTGAAAAATGCAAGCGAGAGTGATTAGAACAAATGGGCAATTTTGCATACCGCGTTCACTGCCTCGAGTCACAAACGGAGACGCGGAAAAAATAGGTGCCGACGTGACCACTGACAACGATATTTGGTTCTGAATAATTCTGAATGTTCTGAAAGGGCTTTGAATGCTGTTCGAATCAGTTTGAACAACTCTGAAGAGGCGAAACTCACGCTGGAAATGTATGTGCGCTTGATGCGCAGGCTGCGAGTCCGTGGGGTATTTTGCCGTATGTACTTGGTACAAAGTTGGTAGGAACGTATTGGAGTCAGTGAATACAGTGAATTCTGTGAACTTTCGGCAGTGACCCACGCATTGGCATTCAGGAGCGTGGTCACAATGTGGAAACGCAATGGCCTTTGTTTCGACAAAGAGAACAATGACTCTTTTTTCGCGGGAAGATCTGGGAAGAAAGAATCAAAGATATCAACTTCGAGATCATCGTTTCCGTTTCCCTCAACTGCGCTGTGATGGCGACAGAGTAGTACAAGTACAGCTTCGCCAAATTCTCCTCTGGGATGGCCTCCACCGTCTCCTTGACGAATTGCGAGCGCGTCGGGTACGGGCTGGTGAAGGATTCGCATTGAGAACGCGACCGAAATCCGAATCACACTGTGACAGGCACCTCTAAAAAAAGGAAGCGTGACTCAGATGGTCGCCTAGAGAAAGTTCCCACGCTAATATTAAAAAAGCCCGATTTAATCTTGACAATTGACTTGACTTTTTCTTGTGGCTTTGAAGTGAACCTCGTGTATAGATTTCCTTTGTGGCGCGACTCTAACCAAACGGGATTTGGTTCAATACTTATAACTGGGCCTCCTACTCCCATTCCTCCTCTCTCTCTTTGAACACAATGTTTCGTACTGGCTCTCCTTACTCCCAGTTCTTCATGTCAGGCTTGTTGCCTTCAGCCGACCCCAATGCAAGCGAGGACGGTCAGGATGGCTTTCTGTACGAAGTCGACTTTCGTCGACGAGGTAGTCTACCTGATACCTTGTCTCCTACCGCTAATCTTGCCCAATTCCACAAAGAACGTTCGTTTCTGTCTTTGGATCTAGCTGGCGCGGGTTCGTTACGGTACGTTCATTTGACCTTGTTTCCCGATGAGAACGTTTTTTCTCAACAACGATCATCACCTAGTGCTCCATCTCTTCACACCCTTCATTCTCGTCCATCCTTGCAAAGCCTACCCACTCAGAAACCGATGCCCAACTACGCCTACGTGTTGCCAGCGCTACCAGCGCCGAACGTACACAGTCGCGCTTCATCTACTCTTCTCCCTACTACCCAACAATCCCATCCAGTCGCTGGTCCCTCAAAACCAGTCGCTGCTTCCAATCTCACTCGTAACATGTCCGTCAAGACTGCGACTTCTACCGTTTCTACGAACTATCGCCGTACCAAGCGCTCTGATGCCTTAGCCCGTCTCGAGGGCCGCTCACCAGCCGCGGCTGCGCTCAAACCATTCAGATTCGGCGGTATCAAAGAAGAGTCCACAAGTAACTTCATGTCCTTGTCTGATGATGAGGACTCTTCCGAAGACGAGTGGGATATGTCTGACGAGGA